AGTAAATTTTAAGTCCCGCCATAGTGAAACCCTGTCTCAAAAAAACAAAAACAAGGCTGGGCATTTAGCCCCATGGAACCATGCCTGCCTCGTAAGTGTATGGTCCTGAGCTCAATCCAAGTACCATGAAAAAGAAAAGAAAGGAAGGGAGGGAGGGAGGAAAAAAAAAAATCTCATATAGTATATATGGGTTTTGTTTTTTTGTACCAGGGATCGAACACAGGTCTTTGTGCTTGCAAGGCAGGTGGTAGAACCATGGAGCTAAATCCCCGGCCCTCACACAGTATATATATGGAAATGACATATATCAGAAAGAAAGTGTATGTGTGCTAAATTCAAGACTGCTTTGTGTTTTGTTTTGTTTTGTTTTGTGTGTTTTCTGAGACAGGGTCTCACTATATATATATATATATATGAGACTGACCTGGAACTCACTATATATATATAGCTTTTTTTTTATATAGTTTCAGGCTGGCCTTGAACTCACTATGTAGTCCAGGTTGGCTTCAAACTTGTAGCAATCTTCCTACCTCAGCCTCCTGAATGCTAGGATTACAGGTATATGCCACCACACTCAGCCTTAAGATAACTTTAATATCCTTAATATTTTTTTGTATTTTCTGAATTTTCACAATGACATTTATTACTTTCACAATCAGACAAAACAAGGAGGATATTTCTATTTTGTAAAAAAGAATACATATAGGGCTGGGGATTTAGCTCAGTGGTACTGCTGCCTTCCTCACAAGCGAAAGGTCCCAAGTTTGATCCCCAGTAAGGGAAAAAAAAAAAAAAAAAAAAAAAAAAAGTGGAAAGAGTCATCCATCTCTCTGTTTCTGTCTCTCCTTCTGTCTGTCTTTCAATTCTGGTTGCTTCGGATTGGCTCGCTATGACCTACAGGTTCCAGCCCCAAGGTGGGAAAGGCAACAGCCTCCGGCTCCCGACTCTAATAAACCCTTACCCACATTAAAACAGGCTTCCTTATTAGTGCTAACAGAGAAGCCACAGGGCACACTGTCTTGACTTCAATGAGAAACCAGCAATACGGTGGGAAATGAATGGGAGAGGACAGAGGAAGTCACTTTCTGATGGGACAGGTCTTGGTCACAAGCAAATTAGACTAGTTCTGGGACCCTAATCTTTTTCCCTCTTTTGCTTCCTGCCCATAAAGTGAGCAGTTTTGCTTTGTTACCTGCTACTGCCATGATGTGTTGCTTCGTCAGAGGCCCAAAACTATGGGTCGACAAATTATGGACTGGAATCTCTAAAATTGTGAGCTCAAATAAAACTTTTCTCATTATAAGCTGATTATCTCAGATATTTTGCTCTACTGACAGAAAGCTAACATGGCTCCCAGTAGGAAAGAAAACTTTTATCATCTAAAGAAGAGAGGAAAGGATGTTGATGAGACTGAAGTAACAGATATCCAATATTTTAGACTTTCATCAAGAATAATGTAACTTTTAGGGGTTGGTGAGTGGTACTGGGGATTGAACACAAGGCCTCCTGCAGTGTAGGTAAGGGCTCTACCACTGAACTGCATCTCCAGTCTTTTGGTATTTTAGTCTAAGACTTGCTTGTTACCCAGTTTGCCCCGTCTTAGTTACTTTTCTCTAGTTGCCGAGACAAAAATACCCAACACCCAAAATTAAAGGGGGAAAGGTTTATTGGGCTTACAGTTCCTAGAGGTTTCAGTCCATAATCGACTGGCTCCAAGTCAGGGTGGCAGAGGGCAATAGTTCATAGTGGGAAGAAGGTAGCAGAGCATCAAGGGACCTTCACAGCATCGTTCTGCCCCCTTTATCTCACTAAGATTACTTAGGGTGGGTAGCACTCACTTCCTTAAACCTAGGGCCCTTGGGCCTAGCCTCACCATGAATGATCACACTCTAGATTCAGCCACCTCTGAAAAGCCATGGGTTTTGAGGGGAACATCTAAACACAAGCCATAACAGCTCCTAACTTTTTTGATCTTTCAGGCTTAGCCTCTTGAATAGCAAGGATTATAGGTGTGTGCCATCATGCCCAATAAAGAATAGTAAGGTCCCAAGTTTGATCCCTGGTACAAATAAATAAATGAATAAATAATAAGTGAATTTTCAAAAAAGAAAAAAAAAAGCCAGGGATTTGGCTCAGTCATGCTGCTGCCTGCCTCACAAGAACAAGGACCCCCCATTGAGAATAGTGAATTTTAAAAAGCATTCCCACACAGAGATCTTCAGTGTTTGGGAACTAGAAGTCACTGTTAAATATCTAAACTGCAATACTACTCATTGGCAAGCATTCATCCAGTGTACCCTGTGCCCAATGGCTTGTATCCTACTAGGATAGGCAATAAACAAAAAGCAAGCAAACAAAATGTTCCTGCTTTTACAGATTTTCCAGAGTCAGGCATCAGCAACAGCTCTTTAACAATGAGTGTGAAATTGTCCTCTGGCCAGAAATTTGGATGCAGCAGTTAAGATTTTAGAAAAAGTGCAATTTGGCTTTCAGGTAATTTTTTCTCACTTATTCGAGAACACCATAGTAAGATCCTATTTATGAAAGAAACTAAGGTGAGGTGAGTTATGAGATTTACAGGCCACGTGAGAAGAGTACAGTCTTCCATGCTTTGATATTAATGGAAAATTGCAATACCTGGACACACTCCAAGGCATTGTGCAGCATTCTTAAGCTGTAAACTATGTTACTTAACCTGCCCTTGGTGACACTGGGCAAGCCAACCCTATGGTCAATGTTTAATTTCAGACGAAAAATGTTTTATAGCTGACTCAGTAATGACCACACCTCCTTTAACAGGCCAATAGGTTAAGGTACATGGATCAGAACATGTCATTAATTCTCTGTCTTTTTAGCATCACCTAACATTGAATTTGAAAAATTTTGCGGTGATTTCGCTCAGTTTCTACTGCCTGCCTTGTAAATGCAAGGTCTTGAGTTCAATCTCCAGTACCAAAACAAAAGGAAGGAGGATATTCCAAGTAAGTTTTGGCTAATGTCACTTCATACTATTTTTTTTAAGAGCATAACAAGTATCATTCTCTAACTTGGTGATTCTCAACTCTGCCTGCACATAAGAATCACCTTTAAATGGGGCACAGTGGGTGCATGGGGGAGACAAGGCAAAGGGAGGAAGATAACAAGTTCAAGCCCAGCCTGGGCAATTTAGCAACCTAAACCTTCTCAGAATAAAAAAGGGCTGGGGATGTAGCTCAGTGATAAGGCCTTTGGTTCAAGCAAGCTATTGAAAAAACAAAACAAAACACATTTATTTATTTATTGAACCGGAGTCTTGCTGTGTGCCCCAAACTGGCCACAAACTTGTGATCCTTCAGCTTCAGCCCCTCAAATAGCTCAGATTACAGTTATAGGTCACCACACCCAGTTTGAGAAAAAAACAAGAACAACTGAAGGGCCAGGCATGGTGGTGCACACCTGTAATCCCAGTACTCGAGAGGCTGAGGCAGGAGGATCGCCATGAATTCAGGGCCAGCTTGAGGCCAGCCTGGACTACACAGTGGATTCAAGGTCAGCTTAAATTGCATAGTGAGACCCTGTCTCCAAAACAAAACAAGACTAGAATTGGGATGAGGGATGGAGACCCAGCCTTGATATCCTTTCAAAAGCATTGGAGGGGGTCAAGGAGTATAGTCCATTGCTGTGCAAGGCTCTGGATTCAATTACACACACACACACACACACACACACACACACACACACAGGGCACTGTAAGACTACCTAAATAATAACATACTCAGCAGCCAGGGTAAAGAAGGAAAATCTTTTGAATGTGGAACACTTGGCTCTATTCATTTTATGCCAGCCAGATTTTCATTAGAGAATGAATCACTTTAACTCTTATGATTTATTCACTTATAGAAGAGGGATAAATGATCCCACATCCTTTCATCTTTTTTCCTTTCATTCTTTTCTTTCTTTCTGTCCTCTCATTCATCCATTTAATCACTCATTCATTAAATAAGAATTTAATGAAAGTGCTGTGCTAGGTAATAAGGATACAGAAATAGAATTTGTAGTTTTATTCAAATGTTACAATATTAATAAGGTAGCACATGTATATTCATCATCCTGTGATTCTTAAGTAAATTTCAATTTTAAAAAAATAGCTATGAAAATACACACCAATCTTCCCTGGTTAGATTTATTTAATTAAAATATTGAGTTGAAGCTGGAGTTGTTGTTAGGCAATCATCAACACTCCTGATCTATTGTACTTTCAATGAGTCACATAGTTAGCTATCCATCTGTCAAAGCATAATTCTCAAACATTCATATATTGAATCAAAAAATATAAATGCATTTAATTCATTAGGTTCCATATAAAAATTTTATCAACTTTATGAGTTACCCTAATTTAAGACTCTTCAGATGTCTTTGGAGTATTTTTGTGAAGTTTTGGTACTTCAGATATACCAAACACTTCCCAGAAAATCCAGCAAGACAGCTTATTATTCAGCTTCTGTGGGCCGGGGATTTAGCCTGTGGTGCTGCCACCTGCCTTGCAAGCACAAGGACCCAAGTTCGATTCCCGGGACAAAAAAAAAAATAGCTTCTGTTAAATTCCCAAGTTGGGTTCTTATAAGTAGGTAAAGGTAGAACCCTTCACTAGGAAAAACAAACAAAAAATCCACTTCCATGGCCAACTCTAAGACCAGGGTGGCTAAATTATTCCTGGGGAGCAGGACATTCTCATACTAAAATTCTGGATATATTTAAAGCTAAGAATAAATGCAGGCTCACCTCAGTCACAGAAGCACCACCATCATTCTGACTCAGTAGTGCACCCACCTAAATCCAAAGTAAAACTAACACAGGAGGAAAACATCTGAAGGGAATGAAGAGAGAACAATTTTTCAGCCAAGAACAGATTCAAAGCTAATAGGTTCCAAGAAAGCAAGCTTTGTTCATAGCATACAGTTCCTTGTAACGGGGAGCTTTATTTGCTACTATCATATAATCATAATTATTATAAGGCATGGTTTACTCACAAGAAGAAATAATATATCAAAGGAAAATAATCAATAGAAGAAAAAGAAAGTAATTCTAGGTTAGGGTACTATGTTCTGAATCTTTGTATCTTTGGAATATTCATATATTGAAAATTATCATCATATTTTTATTGTATTAGGAGGCCTTTGGGAGACAATGAGGATTGAAGGCCTTGAGGGCTCTGGAGTGAGGTTGATGCCTTTATCAGCGTCCTGAGAAGGTCTGCAACCTGGAAGGTAGCCTCACGAGGATGAATCATGCTGTCATTGATCTCAGGCATCAGCCTCTAGAATGTGGAAAACAAAATTTTTTTTTCTAAACCACCCAGTTTGTGGTAATATGTTATAGCATTTGAACTACTAAAATGGGGGCAAGCAGATGGATTTATATTTTTGAGATATACAACCATTCAGTAATGTGCATGGATGAATCAGTGTGGGCTAAGATACAGTAAAAGTATTACTAACAATAGGAAGAACAGCTAATAACTGCTTTCTTTTAGACAAGGTACTCTTAGGGCTTTACATGCATTTTCTCATTTCATACTCATACAGCCTTAACTATTATTATTTTCATTTTTTTCCAATGAAAGCGATGAAGCTCAGAGAATTTAAGTAAGTCGATTAAACTAACACGGCTGATCAGTGTTCAGGTTGAGATTTGATACACAGATTTGCCTCACACCAAAGCCCATGCTTTTATTATAACATAATTCACTGTTCTAATTTAGAACTAGAGATTATGTAGCTGTAGCCACCCAGCTCAGAGGGGATAATAGTACTTTTAAGACTAACTACTCTGAGCCTTTTGCATGTACTCGTCACCAGTAATGTGAAAAATGTTAATGGTGGGGCCGGGGATTTAGCTCAGTGATTCTGCCACCTGCCTCGCAGAACAAGGACCCGAGTTCGATCCCCAGTACAAAAAAAAAAAAAAAATGCTAATGGTGATGAAGCGCACTGGGAGGTAGTTGCCAACAGGAAGTAATTTGTAGCAGCTGAGCATGTGCTACACAAAGTTAGGGATTGCAATCCTTTATCTGGGAATAAAAAAGCAAAATCTATCAATATAGATTGTGGTGACTAATTACAAGAAAAAATATTGCCAAAACTAACTGTTCCTCTTTAAAAATGGAATAATAAAAGTTACAAGTTACTAGTTGAAAAAAAACAACTAGCTGTTCTCCCTTGGCACTGAAATTCAATGAGTAGAGTTGGGGGCTAGAGCTCAGTGGAAGAGCACTTGCACAGCGTCCCACAAAGTCCTGGGTTTGATTCTCCAGTATGGCAATTTTTTAAAAAATGAAAAGAAAAGCAATAAATATACCTCATATCTGGATTACCTTGGACAGTGTTAGCTTAATTGGGATGTTGGGGCTGTTGCACTCAAGTTGCCTCTACTACGGGAAATTTATGTTAGTAATAAGACAGGGAAGTAACTGACTTTGATGAAACCTTTAAAAAACAAAGGTTCTCAGCCAAGTATGGTGGCATATGCCTGCAAACCCAGCACTCAGGAGGCTGAGACAGGAGGATTACTGTAAATCTGAGGCCAGCCTTGGCCATATAGTGAGTTCAAGGCCAACCTGAACAAAATAGTGAGACCCTGTCTCAAAAAACCAAAAAGGAAGGAAGCAAGAAAGGAAGGCGGGGAAGGAGGGAGGGAGGGAGGGAATGGTTGGTTCTCTGGAAGCCCCAGTTCCTTTATGTTGCACCAAATGCAATGAGTTGATGTCAACAGAAGTCAATGTACAACTAATGTAGGTCTCCATTTTACTATGGTTTTAAAATGCTTTTTCTATTTCAAGATTCACTACTCATAACCTTGGATTGAACACAGTTCCATAACACTTAACTTTCATGCATATATTAAAAGGTTAAAATAAATCAGGAAGGGTCAAAGAATTTTTGGTAATAAGCTACAGGAGGTATAAATATATAGATGTGTGACTTTCTTTGGCAACTTCTAGTAGTTTATATACATGGATATTTCCAACAAATATAGTATGGGTAATCTGACTAACAGTTAGGGGCTGTAGTTCCTATGGTGACCCCAACATCAGAAATTCTAGGGTCACACCCCCAAGAGATCACTGCTGGTTTCCCCCATGGTGTAGCTGAGTCCAAGTATGAGAAGCCAGGGATATTACAGTTTAACAGGGCCTCTATCAACTGCAAATGATCAGACAGAGCTTCTTATGCCACATGATGCATAAGAATCCTGGCCTTCAGGAGGCTGAGGCAGGAGGATTGCCATGAGTTTAAGGCCAACCTGGACTGCATAGTGAGTTCAAGACCAGCCTGCTGAATTGCATAGTGAGACTGTCTCAAAAAACAAAACAAAACGGGCCTCCCCCGCAAAGAAACAAACATATCAAGAGCTTGCGAAAGCAGATCTTTAGTCTTCTCCACAGACTGACTCAATAGGCCTGTGATGGTATACAGAAATTTGCATCTCTAATAAACTCAGAGGCAAGACAGCTGCATCCCTGGATCACACTCTGAGTAACACCGATCTAAAGATAGTGATGCATTTAAAAGTTCACAAATTCTGAATTTTTATTGCATTCCTATCTGACTGCATATGGTGGCTGTGGAAGAGTAGACTCTGGAGAAAGTAAAAAGTGGCAAAAGGTGTATCCATTCTTAGAGTGGGCAGAACTTTTCCTCTGTAGCCACCATTTATATGATAAGAAACACTTTTCCGTGATAAGGATACAAATCTAGTTACAAGGGCACCTAAGGGCCCCACCTCTCAATAGACCAAGTTTCTAACACACGAACTTTGGGAGACACATTCAAACCACAGCAGAAATAAGCATACAAATTAAGGGGAACATTTATTGGGTTGATGGATTTAGGCATAAGTTAGAGAAATAACTCATCTTGAATTATTCTTGAGGCTAATATCCTGATCCTAAGTCCTTTGCAGTAGTAATTTGATGTTATTAGACCAATACCATCAGCATTACCTGGGAATTTATTAGAAATTAAATCCTTAGCCAGGCGTGGTGGCACACACCTGTAATCCCAGCACTCAGGAGGTTGAGGCAGGAGGATCGCTATGAGTTCGAGACCAGTCTGGGCTACACAGTGAGTTCCAGGTCAGTCTCAACTGCATAGTGAGACCCTGTCTCAAAAAAACCAAAAAAGAAAAAGAAATTAAATCCTTAAGCCCCACCCAACTCTGCTGACTTAGAGACTCAACAAACTGTGTTTTAATAAACTCTCCAGGTAACGCCAATGAGTGCCAATATCTGAGATCACTGAGATACTGAGAGTCAGTATGCATCAGAATCACAACTGCATGGCAACATTGGTTTGAAGCGCTTTCTCCATTTAACCCTAACTTTTAAATATGTTTGCGGACATTCTGAGAAACACTGCCCTAATCCAGAGGCTTTCAATTTTTTTTTTTTTTTTTTTACTGAGGCCCACACGTTACACCGTGACTCAGGAAATATAAGAATACTTGTAACTAAAACAGGTTTTGCAAAATAACACATGATCATAGGCATGCGGTGTAGTCTGATGTTTTCTAAGCCCTTATTTAAAATGCTGGTGAGGCCGGGCCTGGTGGTGCACACCTGTAATCCCAGTACTAGGGAGGCTGAGGCAGGAGGATCGCTGTGAGTTCAAGACCAGCCTGGGCTACATAGTGAGTTCCAGGTCAGTCTCAACTACACAGTGAGACCCTGTCTCAAAAAGCAAAAAAAAAAAAAAAACTCAAAACTGGTGTTTGGACTGAGGATGTAACTCAGCGGTACGGTGCTTGCTTAGCATTTGCAAAACCCTTGGTTTAGGATCCCTAGCACTGCAAAATTAAACAAACAGATAAAGAATGCTGGTGGCAGAACTACTGATTACATGACCCCCTAATGGGCTGCAACTGCAGCTTTAGAGGCAGACCCTGGATGCCCTGGGTCATTGCTTCTCAGATCTTATAATGCATTTGCAGATTCTACATCAGTGAGACTGGGGTGGGGTGCAATTTGAAATTCTGCATTTCTAACAAGCCTCCAAGTGTTATTAATGGTGCTGATCCATTTATTACCCTTTTATTGCAAAGCCAAGACTATAAGGAGTCCAAACCAACTTGGTGTTGCTTTCTTTCTCTCTCTCTCTCTCTTTTTTGTGGGGGCGCTGGGATTAAACCAAAGCCTTGGCTCATACCAAGCAAGAGCTCTAACACTGAACTACATTCTCAGCCCCAGGGAATCTACCTCGCTTATTTATTTATTTTTAATTTTTCCTGTGGTACTGGGGATTCAACCCAGGGCTTTAGTGTTGAGCTACATCCCAGCCCTCTTTTATTTTTTTATTTTGAGACAGAGTCTCACTAAGTTTCGCCAGCTGGGTTTGAACATGTGATCCTCCTGTCTCAGCTTCCCAAAGTGCTAGGGTTATTAGGCATGTGTCACTGCTCCTGGCTGTGCCTTTCTTTATGATAGTGAGCTTTGGAAGAAACTGCGAATAGACTAGCTGTTATTATTTTGTCCCAGTGTAGTGGGCTAATCCTAACCCTAACCCTAACCTGTCCCTAAAATCATTGCCACTATTTATGGAATTCAAACTCAGTCCATAAGAATGTAAGCAGACACTGATTTCCAGCAGATCAGGAGATTTTTATCTATTATCTACCTGATTTAAACTTGTAGTAGTGTAGCCTTACTCACTCTAGGTTAAATACCAGAATTACAAAATAGAAAAATTCGGCACCTGCCTGGCAAGCATGAGGCCCTGAGTTCAATTCCAGACACCAAAAAGAAAAAAGAAAATTGAAAAATTAAGAACAGGGATGTGTCTTGTGTCTCATTATTAAAATATTCCTTCATATGAGAGTTAGCATTATGTATGCCTAAAATTACCAATAAATGTTTGGCTATTAAAAAAAATAAAACAGTAACATCTAAAAAAAAAAAAGCTCTTCATAGATAGGTAAGGACGTTCAAAAGGTAGTACACAGAAAGGCCAGAGTACTGCCGGATCAAAGCTGACTGGCTCCTGTGGATGGGCACCACGCTGGTGAATTCAGACTAGGATCAGGCACAGAGGCCTGATGCATAGGCACAAAAAAGTGCCAAGACTCAGAGCCCAGACTGGCATTCTCCTTGTTTACAGAGACTGATACAGAAGACAGGAACGTGGGGCTGGATTGTTTATTTCATAATGAAAAGTACAACTGCCAAGAGGACTGACACTTGTGTCCTTAGACAGACGTCTTTCCTCTCCCTGTAGATACTTTATATGAAAAAGCAAGTTATACTTATGAGGTTGTGGGGGAGCA